ATTCTTCTTATTATTCTTCTTATTATTCTTCTCATTATTATTAGTATTAGTATTCTTCTTATTCTGCGTAGTATTAGTATTCTTCGTCATATTATTCTTATTATTATTATTATTATTATTATTATTATTATTATTCGTATTCGTCTTATTATTCTTAGTCTTATTCTTCTTATTATTATTATTATTATTATTCTTATTATTTTTCTTCGTCTTATTTTTCTTATTCTTCTTCTTCTTCTTCTTCTTCTTCTTCTTCTTCTTCTTATTCTTATTATTAGTATTATTCTTCTTCTTCCTCCTTCTCCTCCTCCTCCTCCTCCTCCTCCTCCTCCTCCTCCATCCTCATCCTCCTCCGCCTCCTCCTCGCTCCCCTCCTCCTCCTCCTCCTCCTCCTCCTCCGCCTCCCCTCCCCCCCTCCCCCTCCCCCTCCCCCTCCCCCTTCCCATTCCTCCTCCCATTCCTCCTCCTCCTCCTCCTCCTCTCCTCCTCCTCCTCCTCCTCCTCCTCCTCTTTTCCCCCTCCCCCTCCCCCTCCCATTCCTCCTCCTCCTCCAATTCCTCCTCCTCCTCCTCCTCCTCCTCTTCTTCTTCTTATTCTTCTTAGTATTCTTCGTCTTATTCTTCTTCTTATTATTATTATTCTTCTTCTTATTATTATTATTCGTATTCTTCTTCTTCGTCTTATTCTTCTTATTCTTCTTATTATTCTTCTTATTCTTATTTTTCGTATTCTTCTTATTCTTGTTAGTCTTCTGCTTCTTATTCGTATTATTCGTCTTCTTCTTATTATTATTATTCTTAGTATTCTTAGTCTTCTTCTTCTTATTCTTATTCTTCTTCTTCTTATTATTATTATTCTTATTCGTCTTATTATTCTTATTATTATTCTTTTTCTTCTTAGTCTTATTATTCTTATTCTTATTATTCTTCTTATTATTCTTATTATTCTTATTATTCTTATTATTCTTCTTATTATTCTTATGCGTATTGTTCTTATTATTCGTCTTCTTCTTCTTCGTATTATTAGTATTCTTCTTATTGTTCTTCTTATTCGTATTCTTCTTCTTCTTCTTCCTCCTCCTCCTCCTCCTCCTCCTCCTCCTCCTCCTCCTCCTCCTCCTCCTCCTCCTCCTCCTCCTCCTCCTCCTCCTCCTCCCTCCTCCTCCCTCCTCCTCCCTCCTCCTCCTCGTCTCCTCCTCCTCCTCCCTCCTCCTCCTCCTCTCCTCCTCCTCCTCCTCCTCCTCCTCCTCCTCCTCCTCCTCCTCCTCCTCCTCCTCCTCCGCTGCCTGAGGCACCCCGGCCCTGGGGCCTCGGGCACGGGCCTGCCGCACGGGGCCCGAGCAGACGGGGCCGCGGGATCGGGGCCGCATCGGGAGCACATGAGGGAAACGAACAATGACATAAACATAAGAACTCGGAGGTCCGCGCGGATTTCTCGGATCGGCGCTGGGGCCCCGTGGCGGCGCCTCCGGAGCCGCTCCTAGCGCGCTCCCGCGCGCCAGGGAGGGGGTCCAGCGCAGATCCAAGAAATCCGCGCGGACCTCCGAGTCTTATGTTTATGTAATTTTTCGTTTCCCCTACACATGCCGCTGCATCGGCGCCGCCGGCGCTGCAGCGGCGACGCCGGCGTGGGCAGAGTGGCACCACATCAGACGCACCGGCGGCGCATCGGCGACGCATCGCCGAGGCGGGCGCCACCCTCCGACCCCGTCTGCGCGGACCAGTGCGGGAGGCCTCGATCGGGCAGCCGCTGGAGCGAGCCACGTGCCAGAGCCGGGTGCGAACGGCGCTCCTCCTCCTCCTCCTCCTCCTCCTCCTCCTCCTCCTCCTCATCCTCCTCCTCCTCCTCCTCCTCCTCCTCCTCTCCTCCTCCTCCTCCTCCCGCCTCCCTCCTCCCTCCTCCTCCTCCCTCCCTCCCTCCTCCCTCCTCCCTCCTCCCTCCTCCCCTCCTCCCTCCTCCCTCCTCCTCCCTCCTCCCTCCTCCCTCCTCCCTCCCCCTCCTCCCCCTCCCTCCTCCTCCTCCTCCTCCCTCCCCTCCTCCCTCCTCCCTCCTCCCTCCTCCCTCCTCCCTCCTCCCTCCTCCCTCCTCCCCCCTCCTCCCTCCTCCCTCCTCCCTCCTCACCTCCTCCCTCCTCCCTCCTCCCTCCCTCCTCCTCCTCCTCCTCCTCCTCCATCCTCCTCCTCCTCCTCCTCCTCCTCCTCCTCCTCCTCCTCCTCTCCTCCTCCTCCTCCTCCTCCCTCCTCCGCCTCTCCTCCTCCTCCTCCTCCTCCTCCTCCTCCTCCCTCCTCCTCCTCCTCCTCCTCCTCCTCGTCAGCTCCTCGCAGTACTTGCCGACAATCGCCGAGTCGTAGAACCTCGGGGCGGGGCGGGGGGGGGGCCGACGTGGCACGGGCGGGCAGACCGCGCGCGGCCTGTGGCCTCGGCCGAGCCACACGCAGAGAACAAGGGAGGGCAGCACCCCGCAGGGGGCCTGGCCTGCGCGCTCGAGAGAAGGTGAGGCTCGGCGAGGATTGGAGGCTTGGAGTCAGGAGGGAAAGAAGCACACAGACACAATGAATCCTCCATTCCCCAGAAAACATTGGAAAATATGGGAATTGGGGGGAAGACAAAACCCAGAAAATATGGGGAAATATGGGGCATCATCTTATTTGTGTGTATTTATTTGTGTCCTGGGGCCCCTTCATGGAGGTGGGCACCAACACTAGCAAAGGGGGGGGGCCTCCAGCGGGGAAGATGATCCTAAATGCTGGCGTTGGTGGTAATATTTCGGCCACCTATGAGACAAGAAAAACGCCATAAACACAAACTGTTGGCGCTCCGCGCGGATTTCTTGGATCTGGCCTGGACCCCCCGCCCTGGCGCACGTAGCACGCCGGGGGCGGCGCCGGAGGCGCCGCCGGGGCGGGGGCCCAGCGCGGATCCAAGAAATCCGCGCGGAGCGCCAAAAGTCCATGCTCATGGCGTTTTGTCTTCTTCGAGCCTCGACTCTCACCACCAGCACCGAGATCGGGATCATCTCCCCCCGGGGGCACGGGCGGGGCACGGGTGGCGGGTGCCGCGCGTGGCCTGGCAGCGCGGGCACGATTTGCATCCACACGCTCGGCGTCTTGGAGCGTCGGGATCCCCTCCCCCGACGCCCGAGGCGCAGTGGAGCTGGGCGACACTCGGGCCCCCCGAGGCCAGATTCTTATCCGTATCCACTGCGCCTCGGCCTCCTGGCGCCCTGCCCGGACAGTCCAAGACGCAATGGACACGGGTGCAAGTCTTGTCCGCAGGCCAGGCCACACGCAGCGAACGAAGGAGAGCAGCACCCCGCAGGGGCCTGGCCTGCGCGCTCGGGAACAGGCGAGGCTCGGCGAGGCTTGCCATCGCTGGGACGTCCCCTCCTCGTGCGTCGTCTGGATTCGCGCGTGATTTTTCTCAGAGTGATCCAGGATGCTCCGAGATGGTCAGGACTTCCTGGCGCTGGCCTCGCCGACAAAAAATGCGCACGTCCGAGAGATGCCAAGGAGGAGAGAGGGTGGTGACGAGGAGGGTCGATGGCGGCGTGGCGGCACAGTGGCAGCGGCTAGCAGGTGGAGGAGCACCTGAGGCACCGAGAACCGGCTGGACCCGCCCGCATCGTGGAGCGTCGGGGTGGACGAGGTGTGGACGAGGAGGAGGAGGAGGAGGAAGAGGAGGAGGAGGGCGACGAGATGCGAAGGAGCTCGTGTGTTGTCTGACCTCTCGGGTGGGCTCACGGGGAGGAGGGCGAAGAGATGCGAAGGAACTCTTGCATTGACTGATCTCTTGGGTGGGCTCACGGTGAGGAGGAAAGCGAAGGGACGCGAAGGATCCCGTGTATTTTCTAATGTCGCGGAGGGGCTCTGAGTTCGCTGCTGTTCTTTCCCGAAATTCTGGCAACCCCCCGTACTCCTTCGCCCGCCCAGCCCTGGCGACGGGGGCCCCGGGAACGCATTCGTCTTGAGGAAGGTCTCCGGGTCCCGGTTGGTGTCGATGTAAATCATCGCGATGCCGTTGTGGAGGTATGGGTCCTCGGGGGGGCGCGGGCGACCAAAATGGCGGAAACGGCGGCGGCGGCGGCAGCCGCCGGGACGCCGAGGGGACCACGAGGCGCGCACGACCCTAGAGATTCGAAGTCGTGAAAGAGTCGCGGCGCCGGGAAAATCTCGCCGACGGCAGGATCCCACGGGAGGATGTCCCAGACCATTGTGGCAGTAGTCGTCGTCGTCATCCCTGTGAGCGCAGAAGCTATATTCCTGTCTCGTCATTGCCCCTTCTATCTTCGCCCCGGCCCTCCCGCCCCCTGCCCTGCCTCCTCTGCCCCGGGGGAGGAGAGGAGGTGGGAGGCGGAGGAGGCGGAGGACCAGTGCAGACCCAGGACGCATCACCGAGATTGCACTAAACCCTCCCTCCAAGCTCCCTTTGCGCAGGCCCCGTACACGGACTCGCTCGCTAAGGGAAAGACCCCGGTGGAAAACAACCGTGGGAAATCCAGAACTGCGCAAGAACACCATGGGACATCGACGCCGCGAATCAGCGGTATTCCTGAATCGTGCCAGAACACCATTCCTGGGACTTCACAACCGAGAATCAACGTGACTGTTGCGCCCTGACGTTCCGACACCATGCCTTATGCCAAAACACAATTTCTGGGACGTTAAGCGTGAAAACCTTCGACGAAACTGCTGCAAACTCTTAAGACGAATGACCGCGGCGCTATGGCGAGAGCCACACTTTGAAAAGGAACCGCCCTACATCTGTGAAGCTTTTGCAGATGTAAAAACGAATGTGCGCGGCGTTGAAGGAAGAGACCCATTTTGAAAACGGACCGCCCTCCATCCACCAAACTCTTGCAATTGTTTACGACGAAGGTGAGAGGCGCTACGGCGAGAGTCACATTTTTGAAAATGGACCGCCCTCCATCCGCGAAGCTCTGGCAACACTTGAAAACGAATATGCGCAGAGATAAACGAGAATCACAGTTTGAGAAAGGGCCACCCTCCATCCGTGAAGCTCTTGCAAATTTGAAGCTTCAGGATCATAAATGGTGAAGTTTCTGGCGAAACGCCCGGCCCGCCCTTTCGACTGGCCTCGGGTTGTGACAGGGAGGAGTTACCTGTGAAGGAGAAGGGATGGAGGAGGAGGAGACTGGCCGGCCAATCCCGTACTATTTTCCGACCAGAATTTCAAAGCGGATGCAGCCGTGGCCATGAGAACGAACGAACAGCCATACGCTGTTAAGCGCGTGGGTAAAGACATCGCGCGCGAATTAGCGCAGCAGAAAATATGCAGTGCAGCTTCGTCAAGGGGGAGAGGGGGGTAAGGGACGGGAGGTGAGGCAGGAGGGGAAGAAAGAAAATAACTGGATATAACGGAGAAAGTCTGACTTCCTGCCAGGACGCACGGGCAACGCAGTTCCCACTCAATATGGTCTATGTGCTACTCTTCTCTGTTGGCGGCGTTCTCTACGAAATTGAGCACGAATGATCTCCGCAGTTGCGGGTCTGCAAAAAGAATCATGAGAGGCGGCAGGCAAAATTCAAAAACATCGTGGGCGCCCCAGGGGTCCAGAGAGGCCCAAAAGAACATCCTGCAGCTTCGATTCTCGGTCCCGGATTCTCGAGAGAGGTGGCAACTGGTGAGGCGCTCAAGGTCCCGAGGTCCCTGGAGGTCCCCGGAAGCCTCTGGAGCTCCCCACAAGCCTCCGGAAAAGCACGAGCACCCAAAAAAACGTCCCACGACGACGACGACGACGACGACGACGACGACGACGACGACGACGACGACGACGACGACGACGACGATGACGACCAGGCGGTGCGGAGAGGTCCTGGTTGCCCTCCGCGACCCGCGCCTCGAGCCAGGGCAGCAGCACGCGGAGGCGGTTGCGCTTCTCCACCTGGCGGCCCCCCAGCGGCGGCCGCGGGCGCGTCGGCAGGAGGGGAGGAGGAGGAGGAGGAGGAGGAGGAGGAGGAGGAGGAGGAGCAGGAGGAGGAGGACAAGGACGAGGAGGAGGAGCAGGAGGAGGAGGAGGAGGAGGAGGAGGAGGAGGAGGAGGAGGAGGAGGAGAGGCGGCCGGCCCGAGCTCTAGGGAGAGCTCGGCCCGACCCCGGGCGCACGCCCAGCGGTGCGCCGCACCAATCCCCTTCTGCAATAATTTGGCGTCGATCACGACGCGACCAGTGGAGGCTGCTTGACACCGCAGAGCAAGGGACACGTGCTCTCGAGACAGAACACAAGTCAGGCTTCATCGGACCTGCGCTGATCTCAGGGCGCATCTTTTCAGCTCAGCCGGACCCTCTTGCCAACGTCATGAGGATGGATTTCAACATTGGACTGCCCAAGTAGTGGGCGCTACGTAAAGCATCACAACCAGTGCTCTTTAAGGCAGCACTACAGTTCCAACTTGGAGCCGTCGTCATCCAGACCGAGGAGCCCCAAAGCAGTCAAGCAGCACACGATTTTCGAACAAGGATGTGCGACAGGATTTGGCCAAACTACCGCCCATGACAAAAGAGGAGGCCGCTCAGGAACGATGAACAATGCGACCGTCCGCCTCCAGAAAACAGTGCGGACCATTATCAGTACATATAAGAGATTCGGCAGCCGTTGACGGACTTGGCCACTTCGGCGCTCAATGCCAGAAGAGCTCAGGAGATAGCCTTAGCGGAATGCACGACAACAAGATAGCAGTCAACAAAAGCATGATGCAAGACACACTTCCCCTTCGTCAGCACCTAGGCGAGCACCAGTCCAAGTTAGAAGCAGCCACAGGGAGACTTCGCGGCATCCAGAACCCTGTTCGTGAGCTCGACATACGGGAGACAGCAGTCAACAGCGAGATTGCTCAGATCAAAGCGTGCAGGTCGAAGAAATGCAGCAGGAGAAGTTCGCAGCAGCAGAGGCGGCAGTGGCTGCGGGACCAGGTCTAGCTCCTGGCGGGGGGCCCGTCCCCATGCAGCGGCAGCCGCCGCCGCCGCAACTGCCGAACTAAGATTTCCAACCATCAGGGAACGTCCTCCGATCACATGGACAGCTAAGTGGTTTGCTCCTTGGCATGGCGAACCGCCAGAACGAATCAGGGCGAGTCGTGGATCAGATTGTGCAAGCCTTTCAAGCCCAGGCTTATCACAATCAGTATCACGCACCGCCACCAGAAGCTGCTGTACCACTTGTACCACCACCAAATGCAGTACCTCCCATACCGCAGGACCACCAGGGACAGCATGGACCAGTGCTTCCGCCTCCCTGGAAGCAGAAGCAGCCACAAGCTGCGACGCCTCGTCAGTTAACCAGCCGCCCAACGCGCAGGAGCAGCAAGCTGCTGCGCCGCTTGGTCAACGCCCGCTTTTTCACAGAGAAGGTGGGGCAGGACCCCCTCCGTCACCTTAGTCTGCTCAACCCTCCACCCAAATAACGGGAGATGCGTCACCTGGATCACCTTTGGCCACCGCTCCCTAGGCCCCCCATTCAAGAAAGATGCTTACATCATGGAGTTCCCTTTGCCCGACGTGCTCTCAGAAATCCCGCCGACCTACCCAGCCGGTGGCCACCCACCAGGAAACCATCCCTGGCCCGATCTCGGGCGCCACGGAAACAAGGATCCCAGTGCCAAACTCTCCCACGTAGCTGAGCCGGCCAACTGCGTAGACACCGACCAGTGTTGCGCGTTCGAGATGGAAGAAGCCAATTATGGGGCGCAGTCCAGCAGCAGGCATATCACCCGTCCTCCCCCTTCCCTCAAAGCAGGCCAAATGCTAGAGTGGGGAATCACTTACACAAAAGAATTATGTATTGATGACGTGCCCCATGCACCCGTCGCCACGCGACTCCCTGCACTGCGCCCGACTTCAAAACCTACAGCGACAAACATCCCATTCATGGGGACACATCTAATTTTGATGCTTCACTCGAAGCCACCGGCCTCGCCGCTCCTACGGCGGACTCAGCTTGCAATTTGCCCCCATCCGAGGCGGCAAGTCATGTGGGACCCTGGGTGATATGCCGATCCTCCCTTCTGGGGCCCAGGGACAATACTCACTTGTTTCATCAACCCAGTCGGGGTATGAAAATCCAAACCCTGAAGACAAGCAAGTGGCAACACACTGTTCAGATGGCTGTCGGAAGCGGCACTGGAGCAGGAGGTTTCTGGCGTGGTCCCTTCTTTTCGACCCCTCTGCGAGTCCCTCGTCGCCGCGGTTGGATCCACGTCGAAATCATTGCCAGAAAGCGCCCGATGAGAGATTGAGAGAATGAGTTGGCGGTGGGGACCTAAGAACATGGGATGTGGAAGTTGAGAATACTTCTCAAGATCGGTGAGAGAAGTGAAAAAGGGGGTGAAAAAAGGCCCGTAGAGCGGAAGTGTCCGCGTTGGCGCGGCGCCGGGCCGCGGAGCATTCGCATTCAAAGTCATTCCACCGCCTGCGTTGGCCGCACGCGCGTCTGCACGGTGTCATTCGACGCCAAGGCCGCCAGTCCAATATAAGTGTCTACACCACCTTCCATCGGAGACGGAGGCCGCGCGCCTGGCCAATGATATTTGTGCTCCGAAACACGCCACAACCAAGTCTCCGACCCCGTACTTGGTCGCCAAGTCGACGCTGGCGCTGGTCGCGCGCTTGATAGCATCCACCCAATTTTCGTCCAGCCCCCGACTTACACCAACGATTTGCCTTAGCGTTCTTCTCTGCGTGGTTCTTAGCCGCCGCTCCTGACTAACGAATTAAATTCAAAATCCCCGCTCAATGCACAAGCCACGGGGCCATTGTCGATTCGAATAACTTCGCTATGTGTGGCAATGGTATACAACGATCACATCGTACAGAGTTATGTTTTGCAAACGCCGCCCAACCTGAAACAACTATGTTGTCGAGTTTTGCTGCGTGGTAATCGTCCATGGATAGTTTCCGGTCCAAATGTTGTTCCCTGCGTTCTTCTTGCAACACTCGCACGCCTTGGTCGCCGCACTTCACAGCAATCGGCCAGGCCGACGCGTTTGCCATGACGAACGTCTTGTCCATGTGCAGTTGGAGCCCGCACGCGCGAGTTTCTGCGTCCAGGTCTTTGATCACGCGCGAAACATCCATGGAACTAGTGGCCAGCAATAGCACGTCATCAGCAAAACGCAAGTTTGAGAGCGGATTGCCAAAATCATCGACCACTATGCCATGGCATTGCCCCACGCGCCTGTCGTTCAATTGCCCCAAGCGTTTCTTCAGATATCAGATAATTTCTCCATGACCACGATGAACAAAAATGAGTTTATTGGATATCCCTGTTTGACGCCACGGGAAATATCAGAGGATCGGTTTCACGCTCCTGCTATCACTGTGGCACCCGTCTAACGAAGAGCCGTTTCAATTTGATTCTCACCAGTTGGAACCCATGCTCGCTGACTGCCGTCCACAACGCGCCATGTTCAACAATATCAACGCGTCATGCTCACCGGACTAGGTGTGGAACCAGTCGGAACACGCATCGAAAACGGGCCATCGGGGCCAGCCTCGAACCCCGAATGGCGGCGATGGGCACCCACGGGACGCAGGCCCGAAGCGGGAAAGAGGGGCAAACATTCACGCTGCTAAGCAGGGCATCAAAAGGCACCCTTCGCGTCTGGCGCTCAAGCGCGCCAGTTGCGCCCCGCCGGCCCGCGCGCGCAAGCCGCGCAGGAGCCCACGAAGCAAGGGCAAGCTATCAAAGGATTGTGTTTTCCTGACTACGTCCCTCATATATATATAGAGAGAGAGAAAGAAAAAAAACAAAAAAAACAAAAAACAAAAAAATGTCGCTCGTAACCGGCCGGTTTTGATTCATGGTCGGGTTACCGGGCGGCGGGAGCCAGCGCAGAAAACGTAGTAGACGCACCAGAAGTAGTCCTTGCAGGAGTATATATACATATGGTCGCCCCCCCCCAGCGCCCCCCACGCCACCAAAACAACAAATCAATCATTAATCGCTTGCTCCTTCCCATCCTCCTCCTCTTCATCCTCCCCCTCTTCCTCCTCCTCCTCCTCCTCCTCCTCCTCATCCATCTGCACCTCCTCCTGCTCCCCACAATAAACACCCAAAATACCAAACATACACATTGTTTGGCGCCCTCGATGCATGAAAATGCTGTGTATGTTTAGTTTGTTTGGTTTTTTGGGTTTGAGGATCAACGAAACACTGCGTATTGTTGTTGGTGTTGTTGTTGTTGGTGTTGTTGTTGTTGTTGTTGTTGTTGTTGTTGTTGTTGTTGTTGTTGTTGTTGTTGTTGTTGTTGTTTTGAGGGGGGGAGGCCCCATGCTCGCAGCGGCCCCCCTACCAGCACCATTCTGCTTGCCAAATCATAAAACCAAAAAAAAAAAAACACAAAAAAAGGTGCTTGGCGCCCTCGATGCAAGAAAATGCTGTGCATTTTTTGGTTGTTTGGTTTTTTTGGTCTGAGAATCAACGAAACACTGTGCATGTTTGGCTGTTTTGTTTTTTTTTGGTTTTGGAGGCCCCATGCTCGCAGAGGCCTCGGCGAACATGGGGCCCCTAAAACCACACCCTTCCCCCCCCCCCAGAAAAAAATGTTTCGTAGATCCTCAGACAAAAAAACACCACAACAACAAAAACACAACAAAAAAAACAAAAAAAACAAAAAAAAACTTACATCGAGGGCGCGAAACACTGCGTTTGTTGTTCCCCACCCCCCCCCCACCCCCGGTTTTTCTTTGGGGGAGCAGAAGGATGCTGGCAGGGAGGCCGCGGCGAGCATAGGGCTTCGAAAACCAAACAAAAAAAACATTTTGTCTTGGGAAGCAGAGACATGGCGCTGGTGATCAGATGCATGGAAGGAGTGACACGAGGGGCGATTACGCGTGCTAGTACCTCATCAAGGACACAGGGCGCGCGCCACCTCGGCGGCGCGCGCAC